CTTCAATAGCTTTTCATTTTCCATCAAAAAAATTTTGAACTCCAGAGTCTGCAATTAGGAACTCTGGTGGCCCTGTGGTAAGAACCTGCTCTGTACTCCTGAAGGCATGCATTTGAATTTACCAGCTGCTCTGCAGGAGAAGGATGGACACTCTCCTCCCATGTGATTTACTGCTTCTGCAAATCTACTGGCGGATCATCTATGAGTCAGTTTCCACTCAAGGGTGCATAATAACAAAAAGAAATCTGGTATTCGAGAGCTTTTGTGATCTCTCAGTGATTTACATTTCTAGTCTCATTTTAAAGTTGTTTTCTGCATGAGAGAAGTGAAATGAACATTTACTATAAGACATTGGGGTAGGTATTGTACAAGGCAGGTTTTTTAATCTTCATCATATCACTGTGTGAAATGTGCTATAGATGAGGAAATGGGTCAGGATGAAGTAACCAGACATAACAATCTAAAGGAAGAGTCAAATCTGACTCCAAAGTCCACAATCTCTGCCTCTTGTTTTGTTCTCTCTCTTCTGCACATGTTTTATGTCTTTCTTCTTGCTGTTTCTTCTTCTTAGAAGGTTTGTTTCTGTTCGTCTTAAATCCTGCACCCACAGTCAGAAGGAATAATTCTCACAACTGACGTCAGATCATATATTATTTCTGCTTCCCTTTTTGCTCTTTTCACATGTGACTTTAAGCTAAAATTTTTTGAACATGAAACACACAATCTAATTGGATGGGAAACAATGCAAAAGCAGTAACAGTGATCTTGTCATTATTGTATTTCTCAAACCACAACTTGTACATAGCTGTTACTTAACAACTTACAACTTAAATTCCCTTATCATTTAAGTGTATGACCCAAATGTTGGAGCACCCAATTCCCTCTTTTACTTGAATTAGCTGCTCCTTCACAAAAGATGAGGTTACGTTCTGGAATAGACATATCCATCTTTAATCCGTGAGGCATTCTTAGCCTTAGTTCCTTACAGTGAGTTTAGAAAATAGCCTGTCTTGTTGTAAAGGCTTAGACCATTTCTCATTATGTAAATTCCTTTTCAATTATTCTGCTTGATGTGGATACAGTCTATCACAGCTGTTTGCTTAGCCCTTCATAAACCTTGTTCAGCAGCTCCAACCTCACTTCCTCCATGTTCTGTTTCCTTTTATTTTTGTTCTCTGTTTTCTATACACATCAGCAATTTCTAACTTGGGCAGAGTATGAAGAGTTAACATAAAATCACAATGCTTTGAAGCTGTTATTAATATACTGAGTCATCCAAGACTCCTACTAGGCTTCATCTTGAAATGTTGTGATTATCTCTCTGACCTCTTTTCATTATGGATCTAAAATAACTCTTGAGGACTAAACGCACAGTTATTTATTACTTCCTTCATTCACATATTTGGTGCCCTGTGCCCTTGATACCAAGCTCCTTGTTGTGTCTGCTCAGGGGTCCTGAAACCTTTAGTGAGGCTAGTTGCAAGACACAGCAACTTACATGGTAATTTGTAAAAATAGCATAAGATTTATCAAACCTAAGTATGTTTCTTAGACTGTCACTTCCTGAAATCCTCATTAATTCAATTGATAGACAGCAATGTTATCTAACAATATATTACCATTAGAAAACAAGTTGTGCAATTGTTATTGTTAGGTGCTGTTGAGCTGAGAATGACTCCTAACCACCCTATGAACAACAGGCTGGTCCCTGCCCTATCCTGTGTCATCCTCATCACCTCTGACACACATGCACCCATTACTACAGTCAGTGCATCAATCTTTTGACAGTCTTCCTCTCTTTCACTGACCTGCCACCTTTCTAAGCATGATGTCCCTTTCGAAAGAATAGCCTCACCTAGCAACATGTTTAAAGTAACTGGAAGCCAAAAATTGTAGAACTTTTCAGGCTTACATAAAATCCATATTAAGTAGCCATGTTTTATGGAAACATGTAATATTGTGATTATTAGAGCCCATTGGATCAACTCAATATCAATATTATAGTGCAGTTCTATTAGGTTTTCTAGAAGCATACATTTTTTACTTCATTTGAAGCTTTTTTAAAATGTAAGACAAAATTTGTCATCAGTGTTGTTTTGTGTCATAAACCTACTTTTAATATAGGCCAAGATCCACAGGGACTGGGACATTATATGATGTGGCTGAGATTGGGTAATAATTAACAAAGCTGTGTTCCCCTTTCTCCACAGCACACACCCAGACCACATTTTCCAGCTTCCTTCCATTATAGTGACACCATATTTTATCCAAATACATGTAGGGAGAAGCAATGAGTGGCACTGACAGGCTTAGCCCACAGCCCTCAAAGACAGGAATGAGTCTATGAGCTTTTTCTGCCAACTCAACAGAGAAGTTTGAAGACACATTGAAGGATGGATCCACTAGACAGAAAGAATCCAGGCACCTAGTTTAGCTGTGTAACCTATTCAAGATGTGTTGTATATATTTCATTGTTTTAAGCCACATCAGTATTAGGTTGTTACAGAAGCTATCCCCTCCTTACTAACACTGCAGACATAGAAAGAGAAAGGTCACACAGAACATTTTTAAGCTTAAGCCTCTACTGAAGTCCTGGTTCAGTGTCATAATGGAGAAGATTCTTGGCATCTGGAAGCCAATGTGAGGGTACTTATTTCCTAATGAGAAGAATGTTGAAAATGGAGACTAAAAAAGTAGGAACAGGAGTGTGAAAGACAAACTTTGCCTTTGTACATTTTCACAAGGGGCTGTTTGCTGATTCGAGTCTTAAGTGACAATAGAGGCAGGGTGAGGTCTTTCCTAAGAAAGACCTGAAAGGAAAGTTTCTGAAGCTCACAGCTATAAATATCTGGAATCTTCAGTGGCTGTGCTGAAGATGTCGACAGTGGATTGACACTAGAATAAGAAGGAACAATAGAATTCTCTGTGATGTGCTTTTAACCTTATAAACCCGAGCTATCCAGAAGAGACATACTTCATGCTTTTAAGAGAAAAAGGTTCATGGGAAGGTTTTGTTAGGGCATCCTCAAAGGGACCTTGGTACTCAACACACCTGAATTTTTATTCCAAAAGACAGAAAGAACCATCTTACCCTTCTAATAATGTTGGGATCATTGCACTTTGCCAATTTTCCAGCAAAAAGTTGAACTCCAAAGCTTGCAAAAACAAGCATTAATGTTAACAGAAGGATGGAGACCTGAAATGAATTGATGAAATGCAAAAGGTCTTGTTAAAAACAAACAAAAACAATAACACAAAACACAAAACAAAGAGCAGTAATTTCAAGTTTAACAATGACACGAACATAACATTTTAAATGTTAGAAGATATCTGTGGTCTTTTCATGATCATTCACTTTTTTATTATAGATCATTCAATGAGCCTTACTGAAATGTCATCTAAAGAAAACAAAGAGTTTTGCTTTTTAAAGTAAAAGCATGTGGTTTTCATGTAAGGGGGGAAAATGTATTGATTTTTTTTTTCTTTCTGATTTTAAAATCAACAGGTTGCCCTATTTTATTAATAGAACCAAAAGAAATTTTTCAATAATTCTATTCTCCTCAAAATGGATTCACATCACTCTTAGCAGAGCACAGAATAGAGGTACAGATGACTGGCACTGCTTTCCCATCATTATAGATGTGATGTGCCCAGTGGCGAAAATAGATGTTAACTTACTCGTGCGCCCTCTGCTGGCTGACTCATCTTAGGCAAGAAAAGGGATAAAGGGTAAAAATACTGAGCAAATCATCAAACTGTAGAAGCTGAACAATCTAAATATATCTTTAGTACACGAACACTACACAGAAGCATCACTTAAAGAGAAACAAATATATTCTCTTTTAGAATTGATCAGCAGTCATTAGCATAGACATTAGATATTGTGTGAAATTCCTTCAATTAAAACTGGAGAAAGTCAGAGTTTAATGTCATTGGCAAAGACAAAGTGTGTGTGTGTGTGTGTGTGTGTGTGTGTGTGTGTGTGTGTGTAGATATGTATATATGTCTATGTATAGCATACATGTATATATACATTTTTATGTATATGAAATTACATATGTTAACATATATTATATTTTCAACTTGAGCATCTCCAAGCTTCTAATAATATCACAAACTGTCTTCAAAATAATTCACAATTTATTAATCTACTGCAAGTACAGCTATTTTATACCTCTGGGTATGGTTCTATAACACAAGATTTAAAAGAAGCTTATGTAAATAAATTCACGTTTTTTCCTGCAAAAAGAGGACTCACTAATAATGAATAGAATCCTGATCACTCCTTTGTAAAGCAAAGAGAGGATAACAGATTGGAATTAATGTACCTCTTACTTTCCTTTTTATCTATAAACCTGTCCCTAGAAGACTCACAATCACATTTGTAAGTATTCATGCTTGTTTGTTGAGCTTACTGTGAGCAGAGTATATCTGAAAGTTAGGGAGCTCCAGTGATTTATAGTGGTAAGGGGTTGCACTGCCAACGCTAAGGCATACTGTTCAAATCCACTAGTCATTCCATCAGAGAAACAAAGGCCATCTCCTCCTGTGCGATTTGTTGTTTTTGTTGAGAACTGTCAAGTCGGTTCTCAACATAGCTGACCCTCTAGTTTGGGTTTTCAGAGGCAGTAAATCTCCAAGAGGAGATGGTTCATCTTTCTCTCACAGAGCAATCGGTAGATTTGAACCATATATAAAAACCCACAATAGCAACCTATTGATCAGTTCTGACCCGATAGTACAACATTCTTGAATGTTATCCTTGGAAGTTGTTCTATGTTAGCACTCCAAAGATTTAGAGCCAATTCCTATGCTCTGTGTTTTAGAGGACAAACAAAATGAAAGTATGAGCCCAAACCATTCATTATTACTGACATTTGTGAAGTCTCAGAAAATCTAAATTGCTGTCAAGTTGGAACAAATTCCTAACTGACCCTCCAGGTGATTTTCAGATGCTAAAAAAATCACATGGGAGAAGACAGTGCATCTGTCACTCCAGGAGTTCTGGTGATTTCAAACTGCTAGAGAGGACCTGCCTTTTGTGTCAGCAGCTCAACTCCCTGTGGACCGCACCACCAGACAGAGCTCCTCTTATCCTTCACCTCCAGAGAGGAAAGCTTACATTCTTAGTAGAAATTACAGTCACAGGTCAGGCATTAAAGAGTTAGCAGATATTATCTTTCTGGATTCTCCTTTCATTGTGCTTTGCAGCACGCTTTGCTTTTAATTTCTTAAAAATGTTTATTGAGGCCATTACTGCAGGAAAAGGTCCTGATACCTGAGCGCTCAAGATGTGTGACCTCACCGAGGACCAGACCACAGAATTTAAGGAGGCCTTCCAGTTGTTTGACCGAACAGGTGATGGAAAGATCCTGTACAGTCAGTGTGGAGATGTAATAAGAGCCCTGGGCCAGAACCCCATCAACGCTGAGGTGCTCAAGGTCCTGGGAAACCCCAAGAGTGATGAAATGAATGTGAAGGTCCTGGATTTTGAGCACTTCCTGCCCATGCTGCAGACTGTGGCCAAGAACAAGGACCAGGGCACCTATGAGGACTATGCTGAAGGCCTTTGGGTGTTTGACAAGGAAGGGAATGGCAGTGTCATGGGCACTAAAATCGGGCATGTCCTTGTCACACTGTGTGACAGCATGACAGAGGAAGAAGTAGAGATGCTGGTGGCAGGGCATGAGGACTGCAATGGTTGTATTAACTGTGAAGAGCTCGTCCGAATGGTGCTGAATGGCGGAAGGCAGCCCTTCCTGTGTCCTCAGAGCCCGTGCCTTCTGTGTGAGACTGTATGTAGCCCTGAGAGCCGCCTAGGCTGTCACAGCTCCTTTTCCATCTTGTAGCTCTCGAATAATACTTGCCAGCACCATCCACCAAATAAACTTGCTATCTATGCCCAGAAAAGAAAATGTTCATTGAATTAAATGTCCTGAGGAACCAGACGTTTCTGTGGGTGAAATTCAAGAAAGTGTGTCTTTTTGCTGGTGCCTCAATAACCTATGACAATTAATATCATTGTAGACTTATCTTGAGAAGCAAGACTCACTTTACTCTTCACTATCTCTATAAGCGAGGGGGTAAAACATACCAAAAAAATTTCCTTGAAGCCACTGAAAAGTTCTCGAACAACCTTCCTCATCTGGGGCACCAGTTTGAATATCCTCAGGGGTCTTAGACAGCGCAAAACCATGAGGAGTTGGGCTCCTGATTCAGCAGGCACATTTTGAGGCATCCAGCAAAGAAATATCAAGCTCACCTGGAGGAGAGAAAAAAAAAATCTTGGATTAGTTCCCTTTACCACCTACTATCTACATTATCTGAGCACTAACTTGCTACAACTTTCTATTTGGCCGAGATTCCAGTTATTATTAAGTATACACAAAACTCTAAATCACTGCCATTCCCCCTTACAGCCACCCAACATTAGGTTTCTGGGGCTGTAAATCTTAACAGGAGGAGATTGCCCCTCATTTGCCTGTTCTTAAGGATAATCTCTAATGAACAGGCATCCTGAGTTTAAACTACCGAGGCTGTTGTGACCTAGTCAGTTAAGAGTTGTGCTGCGAACCCAAAGGCAGGCAATTTGAATTCACCAGCCACTCTGCAGGAAGAAGACAGGCAATCTCCTCTTGCGGATTTACAACCTCTGAAAACCAGCTCGAGTTCAGCTATGAGTCGGTTCTGATCGATGGTACATAATAACAAGTCTAAACGATGAATTCAAACTGGAGCTTTTAAAGGATACAAGGAAAAGCAAGCAGCAACATGCACAGAATATGACACAGGTGGCTCAGACTGTGCGTGTGTGTGGGCATCACTGAATTCTCCCCCTTCAGTTTACTTACTTGCTAGATGTGCAGCTGATGTTAATAGGTTTGGAATTCTTTTTATCAAGAATACAAAACCTGATATTTACTAACTTTCTTAATGAACTTAAACCATTTTTATTCTTTTACGTATTCATCCATTAAATACATATATGTGTTGTTATGCACTATCAAGTTGGAACTGATGCATAGTTAGCCCTCCAGCAGGTTTTCAGAGGTTATAAATCACATGAGAAGAGACTGCCCATCTTTCTCTTGAGCAACTGATGGATTCAAATCACATATTTTTAGGTCACCAGTGCAAATCCTTACCCCTAAGCTACCAGAATGAAAAGATCTATTACATTGAGAAAGTAGCTGTCAGAGACCTCTCCAGAGTACTGAAGAGCAATGACGCTAGTCTAGAAAATAAGGTGTGCCTGATACAGCAATCACCTGCTATGCATCGGAGAGCTAGACAATAAGGAGGGATAATAGATGGAGAACTGATGCCTTTGAGCTGCCTTGTTGGAAAAGAGTATTGAATATACCATGGACTGCTAAGAGAATGAACAGGTTTGTCCTGGAGAGGGCAAAACCAGGCTATTCCTTGGAGGCAAGGATTCTGAAGCTTCATCTGATATACTTAGGACATTTTGCAATGAGGGACCAGTCCTTGGAGAGGGATATCATGCTTGAGAAGGTAAAGAGACAGCACAAGAGATAAAGACCCTCAGTGATATGGATTGATTCAGTTACTCGGGTAATGGGAGTTGGTGTGTTAGTAACAATGAGATTGGCACAGGCTGGAGCAGGGTTTAAGGCTGTTGTACTATGAGTCATACTCACTATGAGTCATAGGTGACTTGACAGCCCATAACAACAACAATAACAACAACAACAACAACAACACACACACACACACACACACACACACACACACACACACACACACACACACTGGCTTTATTTTCATTTTCTTTGGCCTCAATTTGAACTTACATATGAGTAATTGATAATCTGACCCACAGTATGCCTCTGCCTAGTTTTGACTGCTGATACTGAGCTTCTCCAATTATTTCTTCTACAAATGTATTCAATCTGATTCCTATGCAGCCCATCAGATGAAATCCCTATGTAAAGTTGTCTTTTGTGTCTTTTAGAAAAAGTATTTGCAATGAATAAATCATTGCAAATACAAAATTAAATCCTTCTAATTCCAGCCTTATTTCTATCACCAAGCCCATATTTTCCAACCACTGTTCCATCTTCATTATTTCCTACTTCTGTATTCCAGTCATCATCATTAACGGACCCTGATTGCATGTTCTGTCAATTTCAGACTGCAAAAATTGATAAAAATTCTCAATTTCTTCCTCTTTGGTACTAAATGTAGGAGCATGTACTTGAATAATAGTCATGTTAACTGGTTTTTCTGGTATGCATATGGATATTATCCCATCATTCACAACATTGTATTTTAGGATAGAACTTAAAATTGGCTTTTTGCCTATTAATGCAATACCACACTTCTGTTTGACTGTGTGGATCATAACAAGTTGTGACTGACATTGAGAAGAATGGGAATCCTATAATACTTGATTGTGACTTATATTTGGTTCATGAGGCTGTTGTGCAAATGGAGCAGGGCAGCACTGCATGATCTGGAGTTGGCCTGTTCAACCTATATGCTAAGCAAATTATCTGAGAAGGTGGACTCTATGAAAAGGAATGTGGCTTCAGGATTGGAGGCTGACTCATTAATAACCTGTGTTAAGCAAATGACAGAACCTTGCTTGCTGAAAGTGAGGATGGCTTGAAGCACTTGTTGCAGAAGATCAAGGAATGCTGACTTCAGTATGAATTATGTCTCACTATCAAGAAGATAAAGATGCTTATTACTAGACCAGTAGGCAGTGTCTTGATGGATGGAGAAGAAATTGAAACTGTCAACAACTTCATCTTACTTGGATCCAAAATTAATACCTGTGGTACAAGCAGTCAGGAAATAAGGTGCTACATTGCACTGGGAAAATCTGCAGTTAGAGACCTTTCCAAATTATTAAGGATTAGTGATGTTAGTTTGAGGAGCAAGGTGCATCTGATTCAGGCCATAGTCTTTCTGATTACTAGCTATGCATCCAAGACCTGGACAATGAATAAGCATGGCAGAAAAAGAATTGATGCCTTTGAGCTGTGGTGTTGGAGAAGAGCACTGAACAATCCATGGACAGCCAAGAGAATGAATAGATACATTTTGGAGAGGGTGCAGCCAAAGTGCTCTTTGGAGTCAAGAATGGTGAGGCTTCACCTCACATACTTTGGACATATTGCTAGGAGGTGCTATTATTTAAAGAGACACATGATGTTGGGAAGGGTGGAGGGTCAGCAAAGGAGAGGAAGACCCTCAACCAGGTAGAATGACATGGTGACTGCTTCAATGGGCTCTTGTGTGTCAGGAAGTGTGAAGGTGGTGCAGGATAGGACTAGGTTCAGATTTTTTGTTCATAGGGATACTATGAGTTGTACTCGACTTAATGGCACCTAACAACAACAAATAAGCTTTTCTATAGCCTCACCATTGGTTTAGGCTGAATGGTCATCTGTTAAAGCTAAGTATCTGAAGGGATTAGTCTGCTTTTAACAATAAGGGCAGAGCCCTGGTGGTGCAGTGGTTAAGCCCTGGACTAGGAACAAGAAGACTGGTGTGTTAAGCCCATCCACTTGGTGGCTCTGGGAGATAAACCTGGTGACCTGAGCCCATGAAGATTACAGTGAAGAAAACCATATGGGCAGTTCCACTCCATCACACGAGACTTGACTGCACCTAACAAAAATGAATCTGCCAATCAATTATATGATAATTGGTAATTATATGATAATCGGTAATATGAGAAATGGTAATTACATGATACTGGGCCTTTTGTGTTGTTTTGCTTTTTACAGTAAGAGCCACATAAACTGTGGGATGCAAGCTATATTCATTAGTTTGTGGTGTAGTCTGCAGGGAGTTACTGCTAACACAAAGGTGGTGAAGCTTTAGCAGTGACTCCTTGGAAAAAAGATGAGCAATTACCTGTGTGATTTACAACTTCTGAAAACCTGCTGGAGGCTCAGTTATGAGACAGTTCTGATTGGATGGCAATGAAAAGGAGAGCTTATGCTTCATTCATACATAAAACTATAGTTGCTATATTTGATCTATATAACCATTCAATGAATACTTTCAATTTGTGTCTTGTATGCTATTACTCATTTGCAACTAATTTACTATTCTGCTTAAATTCTCAAATACCTAAACCTCTCTGACCCACATATCTCTAGTGCCAAAAGGCTCCCTTTGAAATGCAGAAGGTTTTACAAAATCATTTACATTTGATCCTTAGGAAAGAGCCGAAGACTTACCAGGTATATAAATATGTCCATTACACCACCAAAGTCTCTGATGACAGCAGTGGGAGTGAAAAATAAGCCATCTGCCATAATCTTCAGATTAAGCTCAATGCTCATGAATATCACAAATACATACTCAGCAATCTGAAAATGGGCAAAAAAGTCACTTTGGTCAAAACAAGTGGAAAAAGGAAGGTCAATGTTTTCCTTCTAATCCATGGGCTAAGATTTAGCAGCTGTACCTGCAAAGTAGGTGCATGCATCACTCTCCGGAAAGGGGATTCAAACATCATGGAAATGCAGGAGCAGATGGTCACAATGATCATGACCCAGTCCAGGTATGTAACCAATCCCAGCAAATCGCTGCCAAAGACCAAACACAATTGAGTATTAGGGAGAGTGTAGGAAAAGCTGCTAAGAGTAATGATGAAGATTGTCTGTGACAACTAAGATTAACATGATTTTAATCCCAACCACATTATTTCATAGCAGTGAATATTAACAGAAGAAAAGGAATTTCCACAGCACAGAATGTATATGAAAATTTCAAATGTGCATGGAAGACAGTTTGTAATGCTTACTACAGTTGATGATACTTTGTATTTTTCACAGCCCCTGTGACAGGATCTGTTTTAGATCTGTAAGAGAGGATAGACATATTCTGTAATACAAGGCATGCCACAACTTGGAGCATCAAACCAATATTCATTGCTGTCAAGTCAGAACCAACTCTGACACTGAGCTGACTATCAAGCAGGTTTTTAGAAGGCAATAAATCACATGCCCACCTTTCTGGAGGATCTGCTAGTAGCTTTGAACCCCTACGGAGGTATCATCTTTGGGTTATCTGTACAGTTCTATACAGACTACATCACAGCATTATTGTTGTGTACTGTTAAGTCAGAACTGACCCATAGCTGACCATCCAATGGGTTTTCAGAGGCAGTAAATCACACAGAAGGAAAAAGCCCATCTTTCTCCATGGAGCAGCTGGTGGATTTGAACTGCATGCCTTTGGGATTACAGTGCAGTTTCTTACCACCAGGCTCTCTTAAACACTTCAACTACCTATAGTCTCCTTTATGCCTTCTGTAAATGGCCTATCATTATCAGATATCTTAACTACATGTGGAAGACAGAGACCATTATTGAAATAATTTACAGGTTTTTAAAAAAATTTTATAATTTTGTGTGTGTACCTTCAAATCATATCTGACTGGTACAGGAGGAGATTGCTCCTCCTTCTCCAGCAGAGCATCTGGTGGATTCAAACCACGCACTTCTGGAGTTGCAGTGCAGCTTCTTGCCACTAGGCCACCAGAGCTCCCCTACAGCTGATTCTTATTAAAAACCCCCCAAAGGTTTATATTCCTCAAAAATGGAATTTGAAATCTTGCAATACCATCAGATAATTTCTGAAGTGGATTTTACAACATTAACCTTTGACTTTAACTTAAAGACACTCATCTAAGATCTTCTTGGTAGCTCAAGGATATGCTCCATAATTATTTAATTAAATGCTCTATAAATTAAATAGCGTTCTTCACCCTGTATTTAACTGCAGTGTAGCGGAATAATTTACATAGACTTTCTTAGCACAGGGACCTAACAACTCTTATTTCGCAGAAGCCATGGCCAATTTTCAGTTGTGGCTCATCTCAATTACCACCCAATCTTTGTCAGTCGTATTCAACCTGAGCTACATTACTGACAAAAGGAGAATTCCAGCACACTAAATGAAGTGGAGAATTGGCAATTACATATCCACTTGAAGGCAGCTGGTAGAATAACACCAGATGAAAAACCCAGCTTCCAAACTGCCAGTTTCTGCCTTCACTTTGTTGTGAAAACTCAGGGAAGTGTTTAATGATTGTTACCAGGTGCCTCAAATTGTGAAAGTCTTTCTAGAATGGCAGGAGAAAACCCAATAGACTGGTAATCCTAAAAGACTCATGTACTAACTGACATCCTTAAACCAAGCTTTTAATCTCCATGGACCTAAATGTATTATCCTCTGTTGCAGGAGGGGGTATACAAATGATTCCAAATGATCCCCCAGGGTCTCCTCGAGTCCTGAAATGTTATGATAGTGATTATCATATGTTACCAATTTCTAACAAAAGAGATCAATTTGAGGTCCAACTAACTAATGGAAAGTTTTAATGATTCCTATGGGATGCTTAATGACTTCAGGGTATTTACTTAAAGTTATGTTTGACGAAAATTCCATTCCATCCATTGTGTGCCTTGGTTTAATCAGTAAACCAGTTGCTATTAAGTCGATTCTGACTGATGTGCTCCACAAGGTTTTCTATAACTGATTTTTTTCAGAAGTACCTTTGTTCTGAGGAAGCTCTGGCTGGCTTGTGATAAGGCTTTGTACTGTCAACCCAAAGGAGTTGGCTGGAATTCACCAGCTGCTCCTTGTAAGAAAGACATGCCATCTCCTCCCCTATGATTTACTGCCACTAAAAAACAGCTGGAAGGTCAGCTACTAGTCACTTCTGACTCAATGGTACTTAACAACAATCTTAACTTCCTTCTGACACGCCTCTGGATGGACTTGAACTTCCAACATTTTGGTTAACAGCTATGGGTATTAGTAATTTGTACCATTTGAGGACTCCAAATACAGAGTCCTCATAATGACCAAAAGGAAGAAGATCTTCGCTTAAATGACCTGCCGTAGAGGCTGGCTCAATGAATTGCAACACAGCAGTGATTGTGAGGATGGCACAGGATTGGGCCACATTTCGTTGTGTTGTACCTGAGGTTGTTATGAGTTAGTGACCACTAACAATAGCATTTTCCCTACGTTGTTATGCACCATTGAGTCAGAATTGACCCACAGCTGACCCTCCAGTAGGTCTTCAGAGGCAATAAATGGCACAGGAGGAGATTGCCCATTTGGGTATCAACTTAAAGTTACGTGGTTCCAAACTACCAGCTGTTCCATGGGAGAAAGAAGGGTGATCTCCTCCCATGTGATTTGCTACCTTTGAAAACCTGATGGAGGCTCAGCTATGGGTCTGTTCTGCCTTGACGCTACACAACAACAGGCTATCAGAGATCCTTAACAACAACAACAACGTAGTTTACCATATTATAGTGTTGTTGTTGCTGTTGATTGCCTTCAAGTCGAGCATGACTTATAGCAACCCTATGCACAAAAGGCCTGAATCCCCTTTACAACTATCAACATTTATCAAAGTTTATAGAGTTTCTGGAGGCATGTTATTTAGGAAGTGGATACCACTCCTGCTTTCAATGGTTTCTCATATATTTCTTCATTGTTGACTGGAATAGAAACAATGACTATTGGATATTCTTCCCACAGCAGCTGAAAGCAAAAGAAGTAACCATTTTCCCGCCTTCTTGATATTACATCAGAATAATCCAATTGGGATGCTTTGACCATAAAGAAACTACACATCTAAAAGAAAAGGTGGGCCTTCTCTTTGCCAGGCCATTTAGTCTACTATTGTTTCAGAATTTCCAGTCAAAAGCATGGAATTAATAACAATGATAAAAATGTATAGATCCAACTGTAAAAATGAACAGATAAAAATGGCTGCTAAGGGCTTTACAAACCAGCGTTTTCTATAAATGTTAACTAATTGCAACCTTTGTTTGTTTTCCACCTGGCCTGCCACTCCACAAAGAGGAGCAGCATGATTAATTAGCCCACAGTTTATTTTGTGACCCCATTAGGATTTACACGTTCCTCCTTCTTCTTATGACAACCTCCCCCTGCTGTTTGCACAGTGCAGGCTAAACACCTGGCTGGAATTAAGGACACTTACGCATTGAAGCGTGCTCGGACCACCACCCGGCAAAAGTTTCTGAATCTGTGCTCTCGGCCAACGATGAAAAGTGGTTTGTCAAAGTACGGGTGGTTCTCTCTCAGTTCCTCTTCTTGAACTTTCCTTAGAGGAGATGGGGGTGGGAACAGAGAAGGATGGGCAGAAAAGTAAGATTGTGGGGAAATGTTGCTGTTCTAAAATGAGAGTCCTGGAGCATGGCAGTATCTGTACCTTTTCATTTCCGCTTGTTCCTTTTTTTCCTGGATCATCTTTATCTCACTATCTTCTCTTTGTGCATTTCGGTATCTCACTGTGTTGGAATGCTAGAAAGAAATTTACAGGGGCATGTTACAAGGGGAGTATTGTCTTTCTTAAGGCCAAAGATAATTATCATTTAAAAACATTAAAATCAGTATCTTTATTTTATATATATTTAAAGACCACAGTCACCTCATAAAGATTGTTTGTCCACGTTGTTGTAAAGTATATAACCAAGAAAATTCAACTATATGTGTGTGTGTGTATATATGTATACACACACACACATACACACACACACACATTACATATATATGTATATAGTTGTTATTATACACCATTGAATCAGAACTGACCCATACCTGACCCCCCAGCAGGTTTGCAGAGGCAGTTAATAGCACAGGAAGAGATTGCCCATCCTGCTCCTGCAGAATATATATGTTGTTGTTATGTGCCATCGAGTCGCTTGTGACTCATAGTAACCCTATGTAAAAGAGCCGTAAACTTGCTCTATCCTGTGCCAACCTCATTGTCTCTGACACCCCTACTCCCACTACTCCAATCACTGTATTGATCCATCTCATCGAGGGCCTTCTCTCTCCTGTGCTGTCCCTCCACTCTCCCAAACATGATGTCCCTCTACAAGAACTGGTCCCTTCTTGCAACATGCCCAAGTATGTCAGACGAAGCTTCAGAATCCTTGACTCCAATGAGCAGCCTGGCTTCACGCTCTCCAGGACGAACCTGTTTGTTCTCCTAGCAGTCCATGGGATATTTGATACTCTTCTCCAGTGCCACAGCTCAAATGTATCAATTCTCTGTCTATCATCCCTATTCACTGTCCAATTCTCTGATGCATAGCACGTAACTGTGAAGACTATAGCCTGGATCAGGCACATCTTAGTCTCCAGCCTGAAATTGTAGCTTTTCTGTACTTTTGAGAGGTACCTGACAGCTGATCTCCCAATGCAATTCATTTCTTAGTTTCCTGGCTGCTGGTACCAAGAGTGTTGACTGTGGAGCCAAGCGAGCTAAAACTGTTAACCATTTCAATGCCTTCACCATTTATACTGATGCTGTCCATTGGCCCAGTGGTGATAATCTTTCTTTGCTTGATGTTGAACTTCAAACTGTATTGCAGGCTGCAGTCCTCGACCTTCTGCAGCAAGCGCTTCAGGTCCTCTTGGGTTTCAGCAAGCAGGGTGTGTCAATTGCATAACGCAGGTTGCTGATGAATCTTCCTCCAATCCTGATGCCACATTCCTCCTTGTACAGCCTAGCATTGTGAATGATCTGTTCTGCATACAGATTAAAAAGGTATGGTGACAGAATATATCCCTGGCAGACACCTTTCCGGATTTTGAACCATGCAGTGTCCTTGCTCTGTTCTGACGACTGCCTCTTGGTCCAAGTATAGGTTTTGGATAAGCACAATCAAATGTTCTGGGATTCCCAGTCTTCTCAGAGTCAGCCATAGCTTGTTATAATCCACACAGTCAAAAGCCTTTGCATAGTCAATGAAGCAGAGATAGACATTCCTCTGGTACTTTCTGCTTTCTGCCAAGATCCATCTAACACTTGCAATGATATCTCTAATGCTACAGCCTTTTAGGGAACTAGGGAGCTCTGGTGGCATATTCCGTATGGAGTAGCACTGTTAATGCAAAGGCTGCACCTCTCTGGTAGTTCAAATACACTAGTGGTTCCATGGGAGGGAGAGGGCCAATCTTCTTTTGTGAAATTCTTAGAAACTCAATGGAGGATCTGTTATGAGCCAGTCTGACTTGATGATAGAGTTTAGTAACAGCTTCATTAAACTATTTTTTCTAGGAGATAATAAATCAAAAAAGTATACTGGAAGATGTTTGATGCTCAGCTTTAAAATGAAACAGTGATGATGGATAACATGGATATTAATTTTAGACAGGCAGGTGAAGGAAGGACGTCTCAATTTGGAGGTGTTATCTGTAAAAGAAGAACCCTTTGTGGGAAACACTTAAACATCAAGTTTGAGTTTTGAACTTAAACATCCTCTAAGCAGGATAAAGACCAGGGGATCTGCTCCTGTAAAGATTATAGCTGAGGAAACCCTTTGGAGACTTTTATAGAAATATGTATCTTCTATACTTTGAAATAAATAGGAAAAAATGAAATCTTTAAATTTTTTTCCTCCTATGAACAAAATAAATTAGGAGACATTTCTTACAAAATTAGCAAAATTTCATGACATTTTGCTATGGCACATCAATTTTTTCTTTCGGAGTCAGTGAGATTGACACAGGACAGAGCAGAGTTTAGGGCTGTTGTCACTATGAATCACAAGTGACTCAATGGCACATAACAATAACAACAACAATAGCCCAAAAGTTGGGTTTCTGTAATGGTTAGAATTCACCAATGGCTCTGAGGGAGAAGGATGGATAATTTTTCCTGTGATTTACAATCTATGAAAGCCTGTTGGAGGATAAGCTATGAGTCAGATCTGACTTGATAATAATTAGAGAGAGGTAAGAGAGAGTGAAAGCAATTATAGTGTGCAAAATCCAAAACAACTCAAAAAAATTTAAAGAAATAAAGTTAATGTTGAACAAAAATAAATTCCAAATGCTTTGCTAACTTCTTGTGAAGCCTCCTTGGCTTTGACCATTTGAGACTCTGCTTTCTTAGCCATGTTAGCCAGATTTAACTGAAGGTCTATATTTTAAGTGGGGGCTCACTGTGATAATTATTTAATATGTACTTTCCAATTTTCTTAATGGTAAGTTAAGCATACTAACACCCATTGGCTAATGACATCCAAGCTTGAAATTTTTAATTGTGAAGTTTTCATATTATGGTTTTAGCCTAAAAGTTCTTTTTTTTTTTTTAACCATTGCAGTGACTATCCTCTAGTTTTCAGCTACCTTAACTAGAGACACATTATTTTGCAAATCAGCACGATCTTGAAAATCATCAACAGCTGTGGAACTAGGATAAGAGATAGAGTGCTTCCCACACTGGACAGGAAGACTTGAGGTGAGCAAGACTTGCGGTGGCAAGACTTGAGGGAGATTGGAACTGTGCCAGCAAGATTCTAGAAGTGACGCACTGGTGATGATGGTGCAAAGATGTGGCATTGCTGTGGGAAAACTGTGGCAAGATGTGACCTGAGGCTTCTTATATTTGTGCTGTCCACAGTTAAAGGTTTTGCTATTCTTGCCTTTGATGAAGGAAGGAAAAGCTGCTTGCTTGAAACCAGAGTCTGGTTTGTACCTTGGAATGGTTTGGCTAAAACCTATATTTGTATTGGGTGATATTCTTTGCCTCCCCCACTCTTCAGCTTGCTTCCCTAATAAAGTCCACTCTCAGTACTACAATTGTGAGTCTTTGAGTCAACAAAGAATAAACAAACCTCTTGCTGTTGGTGCAGCTCTGTAGGTATCAGGGGGCTAAGATAAGGGCTCTTTAACTGATTTCTGCTTAAGACAGTGAGAGGCTATGCTATTCTTACTTTCTCGGGCCTTTTTTTGAGAGATACTCATGGCTCTGTACCTCTATGTCCCATTTTCTGTTCTTCTTAAACACAAATAATAACTAGGAACAAATAACAACTTTTTACAAGAAGTAAACTTAAGACTGTTCCTCACAATTTTCACATGGTTTGTTCAATTAGCCTCATTTGGGTTTCTGTGATAATGAAGAAGGGTATGCTGATTAGTGTTTTTAAAATTTAACACCCCCAAGTCTCCATCTTTGACTTCTTTATTTTTCTGTAAAGTTCAAATCAAACTTGTTGAGCAATGAGGAGATCATAGAAAATAGAAATCTCTCCCAGATACTGTATTATCTATGTATTTACTTGAATATTATCTATCTCTTTCACTAAAATGGGAAGTCTATATAGGTAGACGTGTTGTCTTATTTGCTCATGACTACATAGCATTTAGAACAAGACCTGACCCATAATAGACCCTTGGTAAATAATTCATTGGGTGATTGAATGGATAAATTAAAGATCTAAATTTAAAAGCAAACAAATTAGTGGGGAATACTATGCAGCAATTAACAGAAAAAATTCTTATAGAAATTAAATTTTATATTCTAGTATTCAAAGCACAGAAATCATAGAAACTAGATATTAATTTGAGAATATTTGGAATTTAATCAATATCCAAAGATAATGATATCAATCATTCCTTCAAAATATTTCAAAACTAGTTTTAGTTTCAATCAAGTTTGAGTGACATGTCACTTTTGAGTTGTTATTGTTATTGCTAAGTGAGTAGTAGATGACTCATAACAACCCTATGAAAGAAAGATCTGAACATTTGTATAACTTTCATCTTTTCTCCAAGTTCATAGGGTTTCTGGAGGCAAGCTATTTTGGAAGCGGATGCCACTCCTGTTTCCAAGCTTGTTTTGATCAGGGAGCTCCACGAAGCATTGCCCACTGTGGGTGACTATTATTACATTTGACACATCATGGTCATGGTGTTCTATTTTAAATAAGGCATTGTTTTATGTGACATGACCATTGTCCTATAGCTACAGATACTTTTCTGTACTTGTCCATTTAATCTATTTCCTGAGTCACATTCATATAAAGTCTTAAGGAGATTTAAAAAAAAAAAAGTTACAGAAAGACCCAGGAATTGGCATTGTTAAATGATCATTTAAATACATTTTCATAATCAAGTTCCCCAAATTCAAACCATTCCTTACAACTTACATCTTGGGTCAGTGTTTCAAGAGATTTTCCTCTGCTGATCCTTTGGCTGTTAGAACCATGTCGTAATGACCTGAAGTAATTAAAACCAACTGGTAAACAAAACGCAAGACTAGACTTTTAAGCAGTGACTATTTTAAATTGAAGACTTCTCAATTTTTCTCATACAGTATCAATAATGCTTGTACTTCATATCACAAAAACTCACCATCTATTCAAATATCTTGATTTCATCTAAAGAAATTCTAATCATATTCATCAGATCTTAACAGATGAGAATTTAGCAATGCTGAAAAGTAGGCGCTGTGAGTCTAGACTGTCCTATTCGAATCTGATTGTGAGTTTCATTATTTTATCACTGGGATACATACCATAGTTCTTCACTCCTACCTAGCCACTAACCAGGGCTTCCAGCTCAGATTGTGTGTGTGAGCACCTCCTGTGGCATTCCTTCCCTCGGTTTCTCTGAAGCCTCATCTCCCTGGTGTATTTACCTGCGCTCTTGACGGATATGATGCTGCACGCTGAGAATTGACCTTTCCTTTGCTGGCTGCCCCTCAAATGATCCGCTCAGCATGCGTTGTCGAGTGCAAGCCCTGGAAGAAAAAATAATGGAGCCCCAGATAAATACATGATTTGTACACTTGGGATGAATAATACATAACTGCTCATTACTCTGATCATTTTTAAGGAAATGCCAATGGTAAGGCAAAACACAGCAAACTGCACATAACTGTAAAGGAAAATGAGTTTTAGTCAAGAACACTTACAAAGCAAAACTGTCACTGCTGTGAGGAGATTCTGCAAAACAAACAGAAATTCTCTCACCCTTCCAAAAAAGAAGAAACTTCTAGTAGGATCCTATAAGTAGTGAGGCCAGTCTAACCACAGGTAATTAGAACATTGGCTTTTCATTTAGACAGGGAGGTTTCAAAGAATAACCCTCAGAGAAGGATTTGTCCACCAAGCCCCTAAGGATGAAAGAGTACTCATGTTTTCAAGGAAATTTTGCAACATTTTAGAAAAATGCAAAAACATGTAGTTAAAGGCATAAAGTCATGGCAAAGAGAAGTCATTTACTTTCTAGAATGAATGAGTAAAGGAACTTCTATCCAAAGCCAGTAGAATGATGGCCATTACCACACTTATTCACAAAACCATAATGGTTTTTTGATAATCATTCTCTTATGGAAAGATAAGAATCACCCTCCATTTTTGGTGGAAAGCTATTTGGTGATTCCTCAAACTGTTGAACATAGACTTGCCATATGACCTAACAATTCCATTCCTAGTTTATACTCCAAAGAATAGAAGGCAGCACTAGATTTTTGTATACCAACTTTCATACATACTAATGTTCATTGATAAACAACCTAAATGACCCTGGACAGATGAATGGACAGGAAAAATGCACTATGTGCATACAATGCAAAATTACTCAGACATAAAGAGAAATAAAGTTTTGACATATCCTGCCACATAGATAAACCTTGAACACATGCTAAGCAAAAAAAGTAAAACAAAAAGGGAAAAATATTCTATGATTCCACTTATTTGAAATATCTAGAGCCGGGAAATGCAAATATTCAACCAAATATTATTAGGTTGTTGTTGTTAGATGCTATCACGTTGACTACAACTCATAATGGACATATGAACAAAAGATTTGAACTCTGTTCTAACCTGCACCATCCTCACGATATCTGCCATGCTCGAGCCCATTGCTGTAGCCATTGTGTCAATCTAGCTCTTTGAGTTGTCTTTTGCTGAACATCTACCATTGTCAATATGATGTCTTTATCTAAGAATTGACTCCTCATGACAGTATGCCTGAAACATATGAGCCAAGTTTTACCATCTCTGTCTCCAAGATCAAACTGGTTGGACTTTTGCCAAGGCAGATTTGTTTATTCTTTTGGTAGTTAGTTCATGATATAGTCAATATATTTGCCAATGCCAAATCAAAGGCATCATTTCTCCTTCAATCTTCCTTATTCATCGTCCAACTCTCAGATGTATATAAAGTAGTTGAAAACAGGTTGGCTAGATCAGGCACATCTTCTTGTTGTTGTTATGTGCCGTCAAGTTGCTTGTGACTCATAGCAACCCTATGTACAACAGCCCTAAACTCTGCTCTGTCCTGTGCCAATCACACTGTCTCTGACACTCCCATCCCAATTACCCCAGTCACTGAATCAATCCATCAAATAGAGGGTCTTCCCCTCCTGTGCTGTCGCTCCACGCTAACAAGCATGATGTCCCTCTCCAAGGACTGGTCTCTCCTTACAACATGTCCAAAGTATGTCAGATGGAGCCTCAGAATCCTTGCCTCCAAGGGGCTGCCTGGTTTAACCCTTTCCAGGATGAATCTGTTTATTTTCTGAGCAGTCCATGGTACTCTCAATACTCTTCTCAAGCACCACAGCTCAAAGGCATCAATTGTCCTCTGTCCTCCTTAGTCATTGCCCAACTCTCTGATGCATAACAAATGATAGCAAAAACCATGGCCTGTATCAAACACACCACCTTAGTCTCCAGAGAGATACCATTGCTCTTCAATATTTTGGAGAGGTCCCTAACAGCAGACTTTCCCATGGCAATATACCTTTTAATTTTCTGGCTACTGGTGCCAAGAGTGTTGACTGTGGAGCCGAGCAAACTAAAGCTCTGAACAATTTCAATCTCTTCACCATCCATCCTGAAGCTGCCAATTGGCCCAGTGGTGAGAATCTTTGTCTTCTTGACATTGAGCCTCAATCCATATTGTAGGCTGCAGTCCTTGACCCTCTGCAGCAAGCATTTCAGGTCCTCCTCAGTTTCAGCAAGCAGGGTTGTGTCATCCGCATAATGCAGATTGTTGATAAATCGTCCACCAATCTTGACCCCACATTTCTCCTCATAGAGCCCAGCCTCCCGGATAATCTGTTCTGCATACAGGTTGAAAAGGTATGGAGACAGGACACATCCCTGGCGTATACCCTTCCCAGTTTTGAACCATGCAGTGTTTCCTTGCTCTGTTCTGATGACTGCTTAGTCTCTAAAATGTCATCCATGTTTTTTAGCAGTTCCCCAATGCAATATAGCTTTTGATTTCTTGACTGCTGTTGCAATGGATGTTGATTGTGGATCCAACACTTCAGTCTTTTCTCCATCCATTTTAATATAGCCTCTAAGTTTGGTGAGAGTATTTTTCTTTTCTTGATGTTGAGCTGTAATCCATATTGAAGGCTATAGTCTTTGATCTTCTGTAGTAGGGGCAGTCAGCAAATAAGTGTGTGTGTCATGTTATTGATGAGTCTTTCTCCAATATTGATGTTACATTCTTTTTTATTTATTTCAACTTTTCAAATTATTTGCTCAGCATATAGATTGAATAGATACAGGGAAGGCATACAATTCTAATGTACACCTTTCTGCTTTTAATTAATACAGTGTTCCCTTTTTTGTTCTGGCAGTTGCTTCTTTGTTTAGCTATAGGTCTTGCATAGGCCCAAGTGATCTGGGATTTTCATTCTTTTAAATGTGATCCATAATTCATTATTATCTACAGCTTTGAGTGCTTTTGCATAGACAATAAATCACAATAAACACTGTTCTGCAATTCTCTGCTTTTAGCCAGGAGCCACTTGTCAGCAATGACAATCTTCATTCCACAGTCTCTTTTGAATCCAGCTTGACTTTCTGACAATTTCACATTGATATGCTCTATCAGCCATTTAAAAAAAAGCTTCAGCAAGATTTTACTTGCATAAAATATTAAAGATACTGTTAAATAATTTCCATACTCTATTGGTTCACATTTTTTGGGATTAGGAACAAATATGCATCTTTTCCAGTCAGTCAGGTATTATTTGGTTGTGAGAGGGGAAATTATGAGTGATTGTCTAAGAGGTAGTGAGTTTCTGTTATGAATGATGGAAACTGTTGGAAATATATCACGATGATGGTTATAAAACATGAATGTCATTAAGTTGTACATGTGAAAAATGTTAAAGTGGCAGATGTTTTATTGTTTATTTTTATTGTCATTTTTAAACTGTTCTCTTACACTGTAACTAACTTTGATTTAACTTTGAATTCTCTAATAACTTAAGGCTAGTAGTAGCTTGATATGTATCATTTTAATGAGAAAACAAAATTTCTTCTCTACAGGACTCTCTCCAACTGGAAATAATGAACTTTAACCTCAAAGTTAAAGTCATGTAAAAATACAGTAGTTCAAAAGACATATGATCCAGACAGGATACTGTCATTAAGTAGTTAGTTGACGTTATGATTCAGTGTCCTTATCTGTAAATGAACAGTGTCCTTATCTGTAAATGAAGATACCTCCATCTTTGAGATGATTCATAGATTTATATTCACTGATTTTTGTTGTTGTTGTTGTTATGTGCCGTCGAGTCGCCTGGGACTCATAGCGACCCTATGTACAACAGCCCTAAACTCCGCTCTGTCCTGTGCCAATCGCACTGTCTCTGACACTCCCATCCCAATTATCCCAGTCACTGAATCAATCCACCTCATAGAGGGCCTTCCTCTCCTGCGCCGTCCCTCCACCCTCCCAAACATGATGTCCCTCTCCAAGGACCGGTCTCTCCTCACTACATGTCCGAAGTAAGTTAGACGGAGCCTCCGAATCCTTGCCTCCAAGGAGCCACCCGGTTTAACCCTCTCCAGGACAAATCTATTTGTTTTCCTAGCAGTCCATGGTATTCTCAGTACTCTTCTCCAGCACCACAGCTCAAAGGCATCAGTTCTCCTTCTATCCTCCTTGGTCATTGTCCAACTCTCTGATGCATAACAGGTGATTGCGAAGACTATGGCCTGTATCAGACGCACCTTAGTCTCCAGAGAGACACCACTGCTCTTCAGCACTTTGGAGAGGTCCCTAACAGCAGACTTTCCCATGGCAATGCGCCTTTTAATTTCCTGGCTGCTGGTGCCAAGACTGTTGACTATGGAGCCAAGCAAACTAAAGCTGTGGACAATCTCAATCTCTTCATCACCCATCCTGATGCTGCCGATTGGTCCAGTGGTGAGAATCTTTGTCTTCTTGACATTGAGCCTCAATCCATATTGCAGGCTGCAGTCCTTGACACTCTGCAGCAGGTGCTTCAGGTCCTCCTCAGTTTCAGCAAGCAGGGTTGTGTCATCCGCATAACGCAGATTGTTGATAAATCGTCCACCAATCCTGACCCCACATTTCTCCTCATAGAGCCCAGCCTCCCGGATAATCTGTTCTGCATATAGGTTGAAGAGGTATGGAGATAGGATGCATCCCTGGCGTATGCTCTTCCCAATTTTGAACCATGCAGTGTTCCCTTGCTCTGTTCTGACGACTGCCTCCTGGTCCAAGTATAAGTTTCGCATTAGAATGATCAAGTGTTCTGGGATTCCCATTCTTCTCAGAGTCAGCCACAGTTTGTTATGATCTACACAGTCAAATGCCTTTGCATAGTCAGGATATGCAGATCTTTGAAAGACATATTTGATTAAGATAGGACCCAAAGATGTCTTTATAAACTATGTCCTGCCATGGTACTTTCATGATTGTTGTTTCTGTTGTTGTGCACCATCAAGTCGGAGCCAACCAATA